CACCACTGATGACCCTACATTATGTTTCACTGCCATCATGTTTTGGAATCACACCAAATACCTCCTGGATCAGGTAAATTTGTCTTTCTGTACTTTTTATGTATTTATTAAAGTATAGTCCCACTGAGCTGATATGAGCCTCCTTTCTTGGCCAGACTGCAGCTGATGTAAACTTGGATGACTGCTGTAACAGGATGAATTTACACCAGTGAACTGATTTAACATTTAACTTACAGATAGGGTCATGATAGCTGCAAGACGGATTCTGTGTTCTGCAGGATTCTGTAAATTCCTTCCTGCCCACCCCAAGTTTCCTTTGCGAATGTCAAAAATAATCTCTTCATACTAAAGCTAAATCCAAAATATGGTTAGTACGCATAAATTCAAGCTCCAGTTAACTTTGATTTCTTGGTACTAATATACTCTTCACCTCAGAAACAGTATAAGGTATCAGTGAATTGGAAAGGAAGTGAAAATAATCACCACTGCAGTGATACATGCAGACTTGCTTTAGGACCGGGTTCCCTAAAGCCAAAAGAGCCCTTTTCAAGCCTCTGCTGTGTTCTGTGGGAGACTCACAGCTCTGGTGAAAGACTTACAGGGTGGTTTTAAGATATTCTCAGGCACAGCTTTCCACCTGTCCCTCTGCCTGCACAGTTTTTACCCACTGTCACGTTCTTAATCTGATATCTTGGCATTAAGCACTGGCAAGTGTGGATTTGAGGTAATAAGTTGGGCTGGCAGCTGCAGCAGCTGAGCGGCTAGGACGCATGCCCTCATCTCCAGGTGAGAGGCAGCTCAGGCAGCTGGAAATTAATAATACCTTAAACCACTCCGACTGTGTTCACCAGAGATTGTGAGCCAGAGCCCTCAGACACAAGCACCATTGTATGTGCCGAGACAGATGGTCTGAACACTGCCAAGAATGTTTCCTGTGAGGTGCCTGGCACCATCGGTTTGTCTTGAAGAAGGCAAAAATTAAGCACAGGCAGGGCTGCTCAGGGGCAGTGAAATACTATGTCTTCAAGACGGAATATTAAATCGCAGTCTAGTTCTTTGGCTGCATGAATAGAAAACAAGGTGGAGAGTCCCTGAAAAGGAGTATGCATGTGTATGCTATCAAGTCATTTGATTTTGCAGTAGCAAAAGCATTTACCGTTACATTATGAGGAAAGAATGGAAGTAGACTGTATAGCTCCAATTATCTTGTCCTGCGGTTTGACTTTGTTATATTGGCTGCTACTAAAGCAAAATGCACATGAGTAGTTTGTTCACGGCTGAAGCACTAATACAGGACTTACCTGTGGGAAAACAGACAATATTAACCCCCCTTCACACACACACCCTTTTTTTTTTTTTACAGTGGTGGTCGCAAAATTACTACAATTGGTAGAAATTTTAAGGTGGTGGACAGTGTGATCATTTCAGATGACCAGAGGTCAAACCTCACCGTAAGTCTTAATCTCTTTTACAATACCAAATAAAGGTCTCTTAAGGGATTAGGTTTTGTTCCTAGGGATTCAGGAGCATCATTTTCAAACACTTGCATGCACACATCAGTCACCCTACTGAAACAAATATGACCACTTGTAGGATTACAGTTGCACACATTATCAATAGAGGATCATGGATACACATAAGCTACTTTCCTGCATAATTCCCTGAGCCGTTTTTCTATGCTCTAGAGACTTGCTCCAAATTTGTCCTTTTTGAGCCTACTCAGCCTCCACATATGGGTCTGTTGGATGAAGCGGGGGCTGTACTTCTCTCTGGCATTGTGTTGAGAACCCAAATGGTGCCACTGCCTCAGCAAGGGACGAGAGACTGGAGCTGATTTTGGGGCAAAACCCTTCCTCCGAGGCTGTGAGATGGTGGGCACCCTGTTGCCTCCTGAGCTTGCACCAGAGGGGCCAGAAGACAGCAGCACCACCCCATGGTGTAACCCATGGGGTGACCATAGCAACTCCCCTCTACGAGGAGTTAGGTTGGGGAGAGCCAATGTCCAAAGGTGCTGGAGGGCGCGTCCTGCTCTTCTCTTGTCGCCTGCATTGAGGGGAAGGAAGGAGAAATCACTGTCACTATTCCTGTCTCCCTGCAGGAAATAGCTGCCTTAGCAGTGTGCAATCAGCCTTAAAGCAGCGTGCAGAGTGTGTGATAGATGCGCTTAAAGGTAGACACAAGCTCAACACAGAAACTTTCCCAGGTGCTCTGCATGCAGCCCTGATCGCAGAGAAGAGGTTTAGCAGGTATCTGTGTGAAGTCAGGAAGACGTTAAAATGATTTTGAGTGCCTCTGTTTGTAATTGCACCCACTGTTGAGTGCTTAATGACTGTTACAGCTTTGCTGTTGCATTTCTAGGTCTCTAGGTGTCCTGGAAATGAATCTGAATATTGTTACTTAACGCCAAGCCTGAGCCATGCAACAGAGGGTAAAGTTGTTGATATGATGTTAAAAGTGGAAACTACCTTTATACCATGTGTCAAATTGCACTATCACGCTGACCCTGTGTTCATTAACTACCAGCTGCACACTGAGCTGGATCCTGATCTGGAATTAAAAATATATGTAAGTTTGAAAGTAATAAACTGTAATTCCTTGTTTAAAACAGTTGTTTGGGATCATTTTACTTCTTACTGTATTTAGTGACTGTTTATTATCTTCAATTTTTTCCCTCTAGAAAGAAAATGACAACTTGAATATTTCTAAAACTGAGGTAGAGGTTTATCTGTCATATGTGAATGGTGCACAGAACAAAAAGATATGGTTCAGTGTCCAAAATATTACCAAAAAACCAGACCGTAGCACCATACTGTGCAAATTCAAAAGGGAAGGAACAGACAAGATTGACTTTTCCACAGTGAAAGTTTTTGTAAGTAGAATTCCCTTTTGTTGCAATTTAACAATGTTTGGATGCTTATGCAAATGCAGTAAAATGCAGCATTAATGCTCTGGTCATGAATACTCTTTTTATAGAGGGAGGAACTGAGTGCATTTTTTGTTCTCTTGGTACTTGGTAGTCTAGTTATCTTCCTCACATCTAATCATGCCTGCCTGGCTTAGGTACCGCTGACAGTACTGAGTTCATTTGCTGCCTGTTACTGCTGTAGTGTCAGGGGTAGGCTTTGCAGCCCAAGCTGAGCTCACTGCTGCTGAGCTCCAGGAGAGCAGTAGCTTGTCAGACCTCTGGCTGCAGCACAAATATCACCGGTAAAGTATCACTGGCTCCAGGAGAGCCCCTCATCTTGGATCTGGAAGCAATCTGCTGCTGCAGTGTGGCCCCAAGGAAAAGGACTGTATCCTCCCGTTCACTTTATCCCACTAAAGTAGATAAGGATCTTGAACAGTCCGTAGTGATCACCACTAAGACAGAAGAAAAGGCATTTCCGGATGAAAAAGGGGGTAAAATTCAGCGTGCACTGGAGAGGCCAAAATGCTGTGAACACATGGCGCAAAGCCAGCCCCAAATATAAGAACATTATCATGGATGTCAAAGCTAAATGGCAGCTGAAGATTTTTGCTCCATGAATAAGGTGAAGATATGAATTTTTTAAAAAGCAATCATCACCATTTATGAGGGAGAAAAATGATGCCAGACTTATTGCAGTGTATGGTGGTATAGAACTGAAATAACTCTATTGACTTCAAGGCATATGGCTCACAGTAAAGATTAGTGAAGCTATTCTCAATTTCATATCACTGTTAACTGATCCCCCATCTGTGGATCCTGCCGTCTGAGCCAGTTATGGCATGGAAAAGCCTTTCTGAGATTGGCATTGCATTTAAATATTAACGTTGCCTTGCAATGTCACATGCTCATCCTGCAAGCTTCATAGGAGTGACTGCCACAGAAAGGTCACCGCTTCGCTAAGGCAAATCAAATGCAATAGTCATAATGTAACATTTCACTACTGGTACCTTAAAAGTTATTTTTTCCAACATTGAGAAAAATGTAAAAAGTAGGAAATCATCACGTTTTTTCAATCTTATAAATAAATCATCATAGAAGAAGTAGGGCCACTCTGAAGAAAGGGTAAGCTGGGTATAAAAGAGATAGATAGATAGATAGATAGATAGATAGATAGATAGATAGATAAGAATAAACGTATCTCTTGCTTTAGTTTTCAGGAAGAAAGAGGATATTAAGTGTGGGGTCAAAGACAGGCTAATCAGTCTGAATGGGGGTGTCAAAGAAGAAAATGCCCTTCTTTTGACAAAAGCAAGATTCAGATAGATCAAGGGGCTCAAGACAGCTGAAACAGGATCATTCCCATCATAGCACATGGTATTAGGCTTAGTAGGAAGGATTTTAAATAAAACTGTAGAGTCAGGAGAGGTATTGTATGACTGGAGACCAGCAAGTATAAAACAAGTATTTGACAGAAAAAAAACACAAACTAGGCAAATAGAGGCTTGCTGATTTAATCCTAGCTCTGTGTAAAGCTTTATAATGTATTTTGGATGAGGGACCTGTGAAAGGCCTGGAGGTAAATGGAAAATGGGATAATTGTCAACTTCTTTTTAATAAAAGCAGATTATGCCAGATATCTTTATTGGTAAGATGAGTGATTTCCTCAACAACAAAAAAGCAGTAGATCACATGTACCTGGAAGTCATTCAGTAAACTACTTGACATGGTGATTATGAAGACGATAGGGATTAGAAAAACTAGATGCTGTGTATGGGGAGCTGACTCTGGGCGATGTTGATTTTCATACAGGTATTATTTAATGTCACTAGTGACTTGAGGACAAAAATAAGGCATGCTCTAATAACATTTATTGATGACATAAAACTCAGAGGCATTACCAGTCCAGAGGAGGTTTTATAATGTCATGCAGGAAGAATGAAATGAATTTAGGAATAGGAATTAGATGAATTCAAATGTACCTTATTTAGTCTGTGATTCATAAGCAAGAGAAATGAAAGATAAGGAAGGAAACGGGGCCACTGAGTAGGCAGGTTATGGTGGAGATTAAAGATAATCTAAGTACGAACGGAAAATTAAATGAATGCTTTGCCTCAGTTTTCAATAAGCAGTAGTAACAGGAATTTTTGCTTTAGGAATGCTTTGGTTGGACATGACAAGTGGAGAAAGTCAAGAGTATTAGTCACAGGATGATTAATATATTTTTAGCCACCAATGCGTTTAAGCCTTAGAAAAGGCAAATGGGATCCTAGGAAGGCTCAGACCGAAAGTACGTTCTATAGGAACTGTGTAAACACATAAACAACTGAGGAAGAATACATTTGATGGAGGAAATTGGTCTGCTTTGTCTTCGTTCTTTGTAGTCCCAGAAATACAAAAGCAGTGTCCTTCTAGCCCTGTGGGATTTCTTTGCTCACGCATGTCCATGTAGCTGTGATGTGACTATCCACTTGGCAATGTCCAGCTGCCCTGCCTGCTCACCTCCTGTGACAAGCCAATGATTGAAATCAGCAGATCTCTGCCTTCCCTGCTGTAACCCAAAATAATTTCATCCCGACTCTCCTTTTCAATTATCTCAAACTCGTTTCTATCCCTGGCACTTGGTGGTATTCTTTTTCTGTGTCAAAGCGTATTTTTACTTCTAGTCTGTTTATAGTCTTAGCTACCCTTTATTTATGTGCTTTCACAGGCCTCTTTGAGATCCTCCTCTGTGAAATTTCTTCTGCCATAATTATCAGTGGTGAATGCCTCAGTTTGGCGTCTGGCAGGCTTCAGTACTTGCGTGTATTCCTCAAAATTAAGGCCTGTCCCTGTCCTGCCTTTGACAAGCCGGGTGGCTGTTGGGGGATGTTATACATGTGTCGGATGTTGTATTTGTTCTTAAGCGGACCTTCAGGAACGCCCTACATCCCACATAAAGAGGTTGAAACTTCTGCAAAGAAATAGGGAAGAGGGCTGTGGGCCAGGCTGTAGGCAAAATTTTACTTCCCTCATTATTAGCGTGAGTCTTATCTTACTTTTCTGCTTAGCAGAGTAACACTGTGAGTGCAAAGGTGTGTTTTTAATTATCAACACGTGCCGTCCTCACTTCAAAATGCCAGAACAGTTAGCAGTGATCCTGAAGTGCATGAGCCACTTGGCCAGTTGGAGGCCAGATCTTGCCAATTGAGAGCTCTAGTTTGCAGCGAGAGCAATGGCAAAATTTGGTGCTGCATGAGGACCTCCAAATTTTTCTCTTGTAACTGCTCTGTTTTGCTGCCTAAACTTCAAATACAGTAAAAGCTAAGTTTGTGTTGGTTCACACATGTTTTCCTGAATTGCTGCTGTCTTCCCAATAATCTTCAGAACCAGGGTCCTTCATGTGCCTCAAATCCATATTTTTTAATACATTAAATGTCATTTTAAGAACTCATATAATACGTGTCCTCTATTAACACAGCCATTATTTTTCATCAGGTTAAACTGGGAAATTTTGAGCATGAAGTCAAGCCAACATCATCACACATATATTTATATGTTCTTATTTTGCTACCTATTGTAGTGGGTGTCATTATAGGTAAGTACAATCATGTGTTTTCAGTTTTTGATTTGCCGAAGGGTATAACCATGACACATTAACACATATACATGTACACATACGTGTTTGGGACTGTCACAAACAGTCAGGTGGTTTTCCCTTGTTCTCAATAAGTGTGGACAAAGTTAACTCTGGTCTAATGGAGAAGACCGTCTTGTCAGATTACAGCACGTTACAAGACAACAGTTGTGACTGTTCTGCTGGGATTGCTCTCCACCATTTAGTGAGGCAAGCCATAGGACTGACATCCTTGTGTCACAGCTTAGGCCCTTCCAGCTGTCAGAGCTGGGCTCCCCTCCTGTCCCTTGGGCACATGTTCCCTAACAAACTGCTTATCCTCGGGCAGTGTTTGTGGTGTTTCTGCTCAGTCTCATTTGGATCATTCATGAGTTTGTAGGTCATTACTAATTGAGGGGAGTAAATAGTTAAAATAGTTGTTCTTTTTTTTTGTTTGGGTTTCTTTTTAAAAAGTGCATTACCTTTACAGGAGCCATATAGCATGCCTTTGCCCTCTCGAAATACTGCTTTTACTCTCTCAAAATAGACTGTAGAAAAGTTAAAAATTTGCAAGTGGATTCCCTGTTCAAAACAACTGTTTCTCCTGTTTAATCAGTGCTACTTTAAGTGGGTTGCTAGTAGTAGGAGTGGTCATTAAATTCTGTGTCTCACTATGCAGGTTGTACATAGCAGGGTGTGCTGTACTTTCAAATAAAGTTGGATTGACAATTTTAAGACCTTGTTAAAAGGAATTGTTTCTATTAAAAATTGGGATTTAGATCCAGATAACTCGAGCTCATGGGTACACGGACAACAACAGAAACAGTAATCGTCCCAGAGAGTGCAAGCGTTTATTAATCTTTTTGTTTCTTAAAATAATATTAGAATATGTCTGCATAGGAGTTGTCTGTTCTGTGATTTCTGTACTGAGAATCTTTTTTTCTTTCTTTTTAGCGGCATTCATAGTTACTAGATACAAATCCAAAGAGTTAACTCGTAAACAGAGTCAGCAACTTGAACTGCTGGAATACGAGATTCGGAAGGAAATACGTGAGGGTAGGTCCAAAGAGCTTTATAGACCTTGAGTACAGCATTATTTCTGAACTGAAACTGTCAAGAAGCTCACATTATATAAACATTTTAATTTTATAGCTGCTAGAATATTTTTGTGATGTATCCTCTTTAATGTTGGTGTGCACTGCAGTGGCAGATAGTACTGAGGTAATAGTATTGTGTGTAATATTTTCTTCAGCAAAAGTGGGGAAAAAAATGGATTGGTACTTTCCAACTCCGAAGAGCTTCAGCTAGAAAATCAACCCCTCTTCCCTGAAAACTGTTTGTTAAGGAACATCTATTAAGGCCAAGTTATAATTGTTAAAATGATTTTGTGTCAACTAACTAACTCTCTGGGTGGGGAGGGGGGGTGCTTTTTCAGGATTTGCTGAACTGCAGATGGATGAATTAGACATAGTGGATAGTTTTGGAACCGTTCCCTTCCTTGACTACAAACACTTTGCTCTTAGAACTTTCTTTCCAGAGGTAAATATTTACAAGTCTTTCAGTTGTCAGCCCTGCCTAATAATGAAAAAGCTAGGAAGGTCAGGATCAAATAACTAAAGTAAATACTACACAGTAATTACACTTTGTTTTCACAAGAAACTTTTCTTCAATCAATAATTAGCAAAGAACACTTAAGGCTGTCCATCTCTATATTTAGCCAAGCCTAAACACTATAGGTAAACACCATTGTTGAATTTTCAAGGGTTGTGTGTGCATCCATTTCTTTTTTGCCCAGCCTCACTAAGCTACTTGCCTTTCACGCCATCCTAACTACGCTATAGTTTATCCATTGCTTTTTTTGTTCTCATGCTTTCACTTTCCGTGCTATAGCTAATTAAAGTAACAGTTAGGCTAGCTGACATGCTAGCTGACATCATTACACTTCCTAATTAGACTTGTGGGGTGAAGAAGTGGCTCCAAGGTCGTGCTGACTTTCTACTCCAAGATGCTGACAGAAATGGTAAGACCTTAATTCAAAGGGGCTCAGGTCAAATGCTTAAAAATTACATAAGTACTTAAGTGTTGTCCAGTTTAGAGGTGGATATTTTTGTTGTTCTTTGGAGCAGTTTGTGCCGCTGTGTTGGAGGACTGAAGAGACCTTCTCTTGAATGTTTTAGTTCTCTTGCTATTTTTTTTGCATATGGCAAATTACGATAATGCTGATAAGTGCATTTGCCACAGGTTTCAAAATTATATCATGATGTTAACCAGTGCTTACTGGCATTTACTGATGGCAGAAGTTGTGATCTCAGCTGGTGATAGTTTGCTGAGTAACCGACACCAATGAGTAGAAACCCTTGGTTAGTGCTGTGGTGTTTTAGGGTATAGCTGTTATGTATGCGAATTATCTACTGCTCTTCATGTGTTACTCGTCACTGCTGTGGCCCAGTCCTGCAGTCTTATCTGCACACTGCTTCGCTTTATCGCCCAGTGTGATCCCACTAAAAGCTCATTGTGATAAGCACATGTGATAGTGCAGAATCAGGGCCTTTTTTCATACACCACCAGATACCAGATACTAAGTCGGAATAATATTTAACAATTATGTATACAAAATCTTTGTATGCTTTGAGTCCAGTTCTCACACCAAAGGGAAGTGGAAATATCTCTTCTGGTACTGCTGTGATGCCCTCAGTCTGATTTGTATGGGGTCACTAGGAGGTGTGAAGACAGTGAACTAAGAAAACTTTACTTTCTGCATCTCTTTCCTTTTGGTTTGTTTTGTTGCCAGGCATATTAGCATTAAAATAGCAATTTTATTTTTAGGAATGTATCTTTTCCTAGTGATAGTCCCCTGTCAAAGTAGTAACAATATGTAGAAGCTGTCTGGGTAAAAAGGGTTTGCTTTATACAAGTAAAAAGGAAAGAAAAAAAAGCACGGAGTCTGCTACTCTGTTGCATTATGTGAGGTCAGAAAGTGAAGGGCTCCAGTTTTGCCTTGGCAAGTCTCACGCCACTGTGGATTTTGGAGATGATTCCAATTCGATTTTGTCTCAGTTTGAAATACTGATACAACGAAAGTAAACTTGCCACTATTAGCTCTCTACAGACATGCAGTGTCAGGCAAGTTATTTAACGTACCGTGTACCAATTTTTCCTGCTAAGTACTTGTCGTTCACATTGCAGGAGTGTCCAAACACTCCTTGTGCTGTATGAATGTTGTAGGAGAGCAGTGCTCTACTAAACAAACATTACAGATGAACAGAAAAGGTGATGGGGTAGTAGATTGCAATCGAGTGTCAGAAGGGTTAACAGAAGGTGACAAACCACCACTTCCCTCAGTAACCTCATGTGTTTGAATCATGTCCATCTTGTACTCTTTCTGCCTTCCAGTGTGTTTGATGGGCTTTGTCTCATCTCATGTAAGCTGTTTAAACACAGACATCAAAGCTGTTCACTGAGCGTCACCTGAAGTCAGTGCAGAGACGATCGGCTCAGGAAAGTGATTCATCCCGCTTCCCTGAGACATCTTTCTCAGGACGGGATAAGTTGCTTAAAGAGGGAGTCAGATACCTAAAAATAAAGAGTGATGGACCCCAACTTCATTTTGAGCTTCTCGTTTCCCGCTGCTTCAATTTTCTATATTTAATCTGGCTTGATTGCTTTTGTTTTGTGCTTAATGCTTGTAGGTGTTACATGGATGTTGCCTGTATTCTTAAAACATGCCTTACGTTAAGCCTGATTTTTGCTTCACTTGCTAAATTTGGATTTTTATTTCTGTTTTGCCTCAATTTCCCGCATTGTTTGGTTCAATGCTACCTTGCTTGTTCCTGGTTCACAAGCATTTTTAACCTTTAGTGTGGTTCTTTTTGCTTCACTCTGTGTGTGTGTTTTATTGGTAGGTGGTGTTAGGGGTGCTGGAAAAGTTGTCGAAAAGTGGGAATGGCCAGTGGAGGAACAGAAAGAAGAGTATGGTAGGGGAGAAAAGATCCGAAGCAATAAGGAAAGGGAGGGATGAAAATACGCAGATGAAAAATTAGATGTGAGCCAACAATGCGCACTTGCAGCCGAGAAAGCCAACCGTACCCTGGGCTATATGAAAAGAAGTGTGACCAGCAGGTTGAGGGAGGTGATTCTGCCCCTCTACTCTGCTCCCATGAGACACCACCTGAAGTACTGCGTCCAGCTCTGGAGTCCCCAACTTAAGAAGAACATGGACCTGTTGGAGCAAGTCCAGAGGAGGGCAATGAAGATAGTTGGAAGGCTAGGACATCTCTCCTATGAAGAAAGCCTGAGCAAGTTGGAGTTGTTCAGCCTGGTGAAGAGAAGGCTCTGGGGAGACCTTCTAGCAGCCTTCCAGTATAAAGGAGACTTATAAGAAAGAGAGAGACTTCTTACTAGGTCCTGTAGTGACAGGATGAGGGGCTATGATTTTAAACTGAAAGAGGGCAGATTTGGGTTAGACATAAGGAAGAAATTCTTCACTCTAAGAGTGGTAAGGCGCTGGAACAGATTACCTAGAGAATTTGTGGATGATCTAGCCCTGGAAGTGTTTGAGGTCCAGTTGGATGGGACTTTCAGCAACATGACCTGCCGAAAGATGTCTCTGCCCATGGCAGGAGGTTGGACTAGATGGTCTTTAAGGTCCCTTCCAACCCAAATCAGTCTGTGATTCTATGATTCTATAAGGAAATCAGGGCTGTCAGCATCACAGATAAAGCAGATGACAGTAGATGTTACTGGTGTGAATTTGTTGCTCAAGGGTGCTGCTTTGGGAGCATGCAGCTGTGTTGGGACCTTATAGGATGTAAGAGTCAGACAAGAGGCATTGACAAGGTATTTGAGAACCGGGAGCTTCCCTTTGTTGTGAGAGCTTTTGCTAGGACTGGATGTGTGGTGGCACCTGTGCCTCTCTGGAGTCTGACAGCATGGACCTCCTGGAGAGTTCATTAGTGAACATTCATAAAGTGCCTTGAAATGAATGGAGGCAGATGAACTCAAGTGTCACTCTGTTGCAGAAACCCTGTATACCAAAGGCTGTCATTGCTGTCCAAGAACGGTGCAGCCTGCAGCACCCCTTGCACGCCAGCACATTGCAGATGAGGGTGATAAACAGCCTTTCCTGCGGAGCGTTAGTTCACTGCTGTGCTAGTGCAGCTCAGCAGCATAGAGTCACACACAGTAACACTGAAATCAATGTCAGGTCATCTTTGAGAGTTCACTTTTCAGTGAACCTTGGCAGCACCTTTGCAGAAGTTCTTGTGTAGAGTTTTTATACTGTAGCTACATTAGAAGCTGCCATTGACATTGTTTTATTTCAAGTTGTGTGCCATCAGGAACATGCTTGGCGTGTTTAACGTACATGTGTTAGAAACTTTGGGTATATGTAAGAATGATAAATATCACCTGTCTTATATTTTAGTCAGGAGGCTTTGCATCCATCTTCAGTGAAGACATGCCACAGGTAAGTTGATGTAGTGTGATATGCCTTAATTAATAAATATTTTTTCAAGAGTGATTGTATCCCTTGTCTCAGTGTTGTCCTAGAACATACCAGATTGCATTTTCGATGTGTTCCCTTTACCCCATGAGGAGGGTTATGTTGATTTATATGTAAAAAGAATTTGATATGTAAGATGCTGTTACCTAATGTATATTGTGACTTATTTAAATAAAATAACCAGAATTTAGTAATGGGAAATGGCAGGCAAACTTAACTATTGGTGTCACTTTGTGTGTATGACAGAAAATGTATGCTCTGCATGTGTGTACTCTGTGTTGTACACAGATGCAAACACATCTTCAGTAAAATCCTGAGACCCATGAAGTAAATGCAAAATTACGACTGATTTGCATGCAGCCAGGATCTTATCCCATATGTTGCTTACCATTTTTCTGAGCATTAAGAATCCATCATGTTTGCTTATTTTTGTTTAACTATTCCAGAGCAGAGACCAAACGAGCAAGGACGAAAGCTTCAACATGTTGCATGCTTTAATTTGTAACAAGAACTTTCTTGTTACTCTCATTCACACCCTTGAAAAGCAGAAAAATTTCTCTGTGAAAGACAGGTATAGTATGATTATGCTTATCATCTTCAAGACAAAGAAATAGCAGGAAAACCCAACATGGATCGTAGCACACAAATGTAATTTCTACTTCTTGAAAAACAAGCTTGCATTACTCCAGAGCATTTTCCCATCTTCTCCATCTGCACACGCTGAGGAAGAAAAAACATTGCCATTAAAACAAGCCATTAAAGAGAAATCAGAATGTTTGTACATGTAAACAAAGAGGCAAAGGAGCAGGAAAACTCACTTCAGAAGTGTAAACACTTCCTGCAGTTAGATCAACAGTTCTACAGTTTAGAAATGTTCTGTCACTGAAGCAGGTGTTGTTCTGCAGAATTAAATTTAGAGACACAAATTCCGTGTTTAAAAAATAATCACAAGAGCAGATGGACTTGCATTTTTTTTATTTTTGTAGAGATCAGTGGACAGTTTCTGTGCCTGAGGAGGCAAAACTTAGGATATGAACTGCACTAAAGTGTGTTTCATTTATTAAAGATGACTGGGAAGAAAAATGCCAAATATTATACCATTCTTTTTTTTTTCCTTTCTTTTTTTTAACAGGTGCTTGTTTGCATCCTTCTTGACTATTGCACTACAAACTAAGCTAGTTTATCTAACCCATATTTTGGAAGTGTTGACAAAGGACTTGATGGAGCAATCAAGCAATGTGCAGCCTAAGCTCCTGCTCAGACGAACCGAATCTGTGGTAGAAAAATTGCTGACAAACTGGATGTCTGTCTGCCTTTCTGGATTTCTCCGGGTACGTGTACATCTTTTCACTATGTAAGATACACAAAAAATCTTTTTAACTGCTTTCTTTCATAGGAATTATTAGAGAGATCAGTTAAATGTTAGACTGAATGCTTTAAACATTATTAGCCTGCACTCTTCTAGTTTAGGTGACTTAGCTAGCTATCATCAAGGGGATGTAAGAAAAGAGCGTATCTGTAAACGATGATTATGTCATTTATTTGGCTGAGATTTGGGTAATTTTGCGGTACTAGCCTATCCTTTTCTCATGTCAGACATTATTTAATTTCCATGAGATGTATTGTGATCGTACTAAATGCTGACACACTTGTTAAAATGCAGCTGCACCTTTCTATGCAGGCTGTTGGAAAGCTACAATGTAGTGGAGATTTAAGGAATACTGTCTTTCAGAAAACTAAACTTCTTTCCAAACTTTTTAACCTCCAAACAGCACTGCAGACTTCAAGAACTAAATGACTTCAAGTGGAAACAAAATAAGCATTTTCTTTCATTTTACTGTTTGTTTATTTTAGCCCACTTCATAGCACTTCGTTCTTGGTTTCAGTGCTTGGTTATGCTTCCCGTCTCTCTATACCAGTGTGATGGTATCGCACTGTTGGTTTCACTCATCTCAGTCCTTGCATTAATACAGCAGCAGAATTGTTTGAGGCTCAGCAGCTCACTCCAATTTCCTGAAACCCCAGGAGAGCACCAAGGAACTGTCAGAGATCTGTTCTCCATACAGCAGTCATCTTTACAGAGCCGTGCTAGGGAGATGCCTTAGTCAGGCTGCAGGAACGATGTCATGTGGAAACAAAGATCCATCCTTCCTTTCTAAGGTGCTTTCCTGAAGCCCGGGGTTCAGGCAGGAAAGAGAAGCCCCAGTTTCATTCCCTCTTTCACTGACACACCAGTGTATGTCCCATCACCTTGCTCCCAAGGGTTTTTGTCAGGGACAACAAGGGGAGATGCCAATTCAAAAGGAAACTAGTTGTTAGCTTGTTTTCTCACAAGACTGAAAAAGGGAGAAATAGCTGAAGTATGCGTGTGAACACATGCACGTCTCACCCCCCACCCACTCTTTGGTGGAACTAGGAAGCGTCTGCCAGGTGGAGTAGGAGCAGCTTGTCTGTAGTGTGCTTGTGCACAGCAAGGGGCTGTGAGCTATCTTGTCACACGATCCAGCTGTCCCTTACTATTTGCATGAGACTTTCACATCGAAAAGCAAAGGATGGAGGTTAAACAAATAACTAGATAAATCTGCTCAGAGGGACTTTCTTTCTAATTGCAAGATAACAACTTGGTTAAAAGGAAACAACTTAATTTGTTACGCTTGGTTTTTTTCTAGTTATTCGTGCCCATTTAATGACTACAAAAATAAACATGTTCTTTGCGTTTGTTTCATGTCCTAGGAGACAATTGGTGAACCATTCTATTTGCTAGTGACAACCCTCAATCAGAGGATAAACAAAGGACCAGTTGATGCGATTACTTGCAAAGCCCTGTACACGCTCAACGAAGACTGGCTGCTGTGGCAAGTGTCTGAATTCAAAACAGTGGTATGTTTGCCAGTTTGTGTTCCTTCCAATCATGGACAACTACAATGTTTCTCTTTTTCTAGGACAGCTCTTAGACACTAAGGTGATGGTTAAGTACCCAGATAATAAAATTGTTGTTGCTGACAAAGTTTCAAAACGCAATAGAGTTTAACTAACTGGTATTTTCACCAATATACATTTCACAAATAGCACTCATGCCTTGCTTCACAGCATGCCTTAACAGCCAAAGGTTAGGTTTAGTGAAACATAGACTCATAGAATGGTTTGGGTTGGAAGGGACCTTAAAGATCATCTAGTTCCAACCCCTCTCCCACAGGCAGGGACACCTTCCACTAGACCAGGTTGCTCAAAGCCTCATCCAACCTGGCCTTGAACACCTCCAGGGATGGGACATCCATAACTTCTCTGGGCAATCTGTTCCAGAGCCTTACCACCCTCAGAGTGAAGAATTTCTTCCTTATATCTAATCTAAGTCTACCCTCTTTCAGTTTAAAGCCATTGCCCCTTGTCCTGTCACTACATGCCCTTTAAAAAGTTCCTCTCCAGCTTTCTTGTAGGTCCCCTTTAAGTACTAGAAGGCTGCTAGAAGGTCTCCCTGGAGCCTTCACTAAGCTGAACAACTCCAACTCACTCAGGCTTTCTTCATAGCAGAGGTGCTCCAGCCCTCTGACAATCTTTGTGGCCCTCCTCTGGACTTGCTCCAACGGCTTCATGTCCTTCTTAAGTTGGGGACCCCAGAGCTGGATGTAGTACTCCAAGTGGGGTCTCATGGAAGCAAAGTAGAGGGGCAGAATCACCTCCCTTGACCTGCTGGCCATGTTTCTTTTGATGCAGCTCAGGATACGGTTGGCTTTCTGGGCTGCAAGTGCACATTGCCGACTCATGTTGAGCTTCTTATCAACCAGCACCCCAAGTCCTTCTTCTCAAGGCTACTCTCAATCCATTCTATGCGCAGCCAGTACTTCTGCTTGGGATTGCCCCAATGCATGTCCAGGGCCTTGCACTTGGCCTTTTTGAACTTCATGAGGTTTGCAAAGGTCCACCTCTCCAGCCTGTCAAGGTCCCTCTGGATGGCATCCCTTCCCTCCAGCGTGTCAACCACACCACACAGCTTGGTGTCATCAGCAAACTTGCTGACAGTGACACTCAGTCCCACTGTCCATGTCACCAACAAAGATGTTAAACAGCACTGGCCCAAACACTGACCCCTGAGGAACACCACTCGCCACTGGCCTCCACTTGGACTGCGAGCTGTTGACTGCAACTCTTTTGAGTGTGACCATCCAGCCAATTCCTTATCCACTAAGTGGTTCATCCATCAAATCCATGTCTTTACAATTTAGAGACAAGGTTGTCATGTGGGACAGTGTCAAATGCTTTGCACAAGTCCAGATAGATGACATCAGTTTTTCTTCCCTTACCCTCCAACACTGTAATCCCATCACAGAAGGCCAGCAAGTTTGTCAGGCAAAGCCATGTTGGCTGTCACCAATCACCTCCTTATTTTTCATTTGCTTTAGCATAGTTGCCGGGAGTATCTGCTCCATGATCTTGCCAGGCACAGAAGTGAAACTGACTGGCCTGTAGTTTTCCGGGTCTTCCTTTTTTCTCTTTTTAAAGATGCTGGTTATGTTTCCCCTTTTCCAGTCAGTGGGAACTTCACTGGACTGCCATGACTTCTTAAATATGATGAATAATGGTTTAGTAACTTCATCTGCCAGTTCCCTCAGGACTCGCAGATGCATCTCATCCGGACCGATGGACTTGTGCACCTTCAGGTTTCTTAGATGGTCTTGAACCTGATTTTCTCCTACAGTAGGCAGTTCTTAATTTTCCCGATCCCTGCCTTTGCCTTCTATGACTTCGGCAGCACAGCTAGAGCACTTACCCATGAAGATTGAGACAAAAAAGTCTTTGAGTACCTCAGCCTTCTCCATATCCTGAGCAACCAGGTCTCTCTTTTCCTTCTGGAGAGGGCCCACATTTTCCCTAATCCTCCTTCTATCACTGACATACTTACAGAAGCATTTCTTGTTGCCCTTTATGTCCCTCACCAGATATAATTCTGTCAGGGCTTTAGCTTTCCTAAACTGATCCCTGGCTGCTCAGACAGGGCTATTGTCCTTGCTTCCACCCTCTCTAGGCTACCTTTTTGTGTTTGAGCTTATCCAGAAGCTCCTTGTTCATCCATGCAGGCCTCCTGGTGTTTCTATCCGACTTCCTCTTTGTTGGGATGCACGGCTTCTGAGCTTGGAGGAGGTGATCCTTCAATATTAACCAGCTTTCTTGGGCCCCTCTTCCCTCCAGGGCTTTATCCCGTGGTACTCTACCAAGCAGATCCCTGAAGAGGCCAAAGTCTGCTCTCCTAAAGTTCAGAGTAGTGAGCTTGCTGTGCGCCCTCCTCACCACCCTAAGCGTATTGAGCTCCACCATTGCATGGTCAACTGAGGCTGACCTTGAACTTCACATTCCCCACCAGGTCTGCCTTGTTGGTGAGAACAAGGTCTAGCGTAGCAGCACCTCTGCTCATTGGTTGCTCTGTCACTTGGAGAAGGAAGTGATCACTTATGCATTCCAGGAATCTCCTGGATTGCTTATGCTCTGCTGTGTTGTCCCTCCAACAGATACCGTGGTGGTTGAAGTCACCATGAGGACCAGGGCTCATGAACATGAGGCTGCTTCTATCTGTCTGTAGAAGGCCTCATCCACTCGGTCTTCCTGGTCAGGTAGTCTGTAGCAGATCCCCACCATAATGTCACCTGTCCCTGCCCTCCCTTTAACCCTGACCCGTAAGCTCTCAGTTGGCTCCTCATTCATCCCCTGGCAGAGCTCCATGCACTCCAGCTGGTCATTGACATAGAGAGTGACACCTTTCTCCTCATCTCCCCTGCCTGTCTTTCCTAAAGAGCCTGTATCCTTCCATTCCAACACTCCGGTCATAGGATTCATTCTACCACATCTCTGTGGGGCTAATTAGATCACAGCCCTGCAGGCATGTGCACATCTCTAGCTCCTCTTATTTATTCCCCATGCTACGTGTATTTCCATAGAGGCATTTAAGTTGGGCCTCCGATGGAACTGACTTACTGGCTGGAGTGGCTGGAATTCCTTTCTACTGCTCTGCAGGTGCTCTCGGCTTGTCACGAGCAAGCCTGATATTGTCCTCCTCCTGCTTCAAGTCTAGTTTAAAGCCCTGTCAATGAGCCCCACTAGCTCATGAGCAAAGACCCTTTTCTCCCTTTGAGAAAGATGAATCCCATCGGGCACCAGAAAGCCTGGTGCTGTGTAGGCCATCCCATTATCGAAAACTCCAAAACTGTGGTAGTGGCACCAGCCATGGAGCCATGTATTAGTAGACTGGATGTGTCTGTTTCTTCCAATGTCACTGCCTGCAAGTGGAAGGAGAGAGGGAAAGATAAGCTGTGCTCCAGATCCCCTTACCAGCCATCCCATGGCTCTAGAAGTCTCTTTTGATCACCCTTGGACTGTGCATTGTGGCGTCGTCACCACCCACATGGAAGAGCAGTGATGGGTAATAGTCTGAGGGCCGTACCAGGCTAGGAAGTTTCCTAGCGATGTCCTTAACCCACGCCCCAGGGAGGCAGCAGACTTAATGAAGTCTCAAAGTACTGAAATTCCTTCTTACTACGTACTACGAAAATATAAACATATGCTTAGAATTTAAGCTGTTACAATTTTCCAATGAATGAAAAAATGGAATGCAGAGGTTTTATTTTTCTTTTGTGTTTACTTGTGGCTAATCTTCAGGCAGCAATAATTTGCCGTGGGTTTCCATGTTATTAGCTCCAAATTAGCAAGGTTACAGTGTGGTGGATTTTAATTAATTGCTTGATTAAAAACAAGGTATCGGGGAAGCCTAGCTAAGTTTCCGAACTTCACCGTAGATTGCTTACCTTTCTCAAAGCAACCAGAAAGTGCTTCCTATTTTACAGTTACACCCAGAATTCTATGATTTTTTTTTTCCAGAATTTCCACATGATTTTGAGTCTCAGAACTTAAAAATCTGCATTTCCAGTCATTACCATAGCTTGCTTCCTTCTTAACTCCTGGCTCCCTATCAGAGTTACCCGACATACTTAGGAGTATGAGAAGTGCAACTGAATAGTGGGCTTCAGAGTTTGGGAGCAGAAACTGCCACGGCAGGAACTGCCATGGCAGGGACACTGCAAGTGCTGGGGGCTTTGGAGGACAATTCAGTCCTTTTCTGAGCCCATATCCTGAGCCTCAGGTAGGACTTCCAGATCTGCCCATCTTCCATTTTTACAGCAAGAACCTGGACGTCCTAAGATGCCACATACTGGAGTAGACTACATGACCCTGGAAATTTTGGCTGGTCAGCAATCTGTTGGGCTTAGTTCCCTGGGTCACATAGGAAGCTCACTGAAATGACAGCCTTTCTGTGAAACATTTCTGGATTGTCATTTTCTGCTGAAAGCTCTTGGACTGACAAATCTATAGTGAAATCTTCTTACAGCTATTTACAAAGCTGTTGTTGGAAGCTTCGTTTGAAGGTACTTCAAGCTAAGTTACCACAGTGTGCATTTGGAAAGGAAGTTTGTGACTGAAAATTAAACGCATAATACCATATCTTTGGTTTCCTTGTTTGTGCACTGCATTGTGGCATGCATGTGGGATCCAGGGTAAGTTTAAATATGTTGCTATATATAGCCATAGGGTGCAAAAAGAAGTAGTTACGCAGAGCAACAATTTTCAAGCAAGCTCAATATGCTTGTTACTAGTAGAGTGCACAGGAACATCTAGTCCTGTGGAATTGATTGACTTTTCTTATTTATAGCACACATTCAAATTGAGAGCACCTGGGGGGGATAGCTGACTGAAACTGCTGAGTGCTGCCTTGAATACTTTTCCTAACGCTAATTCTATGCATACAGCCACTGATAGGGTCTTGTGGGCAGTCTGCAGGGAAGAGGAGAGACAGGAAGTGGTCTGAAGGACTCGGTATCAGTGGGGAAGGCTGTCTGC